GCAGGTCTTCGTCAGTTCATTTATTCCATATCTTCTGTAACCATAGGCGAATTTTCTCCATTTTGAGTTCCTTATACTCCCCGTTTTGTCCAACATAAGGGCTCATACTCAAAAACCGAATAGACTCGGAACTGGTGATTAGGACGGCCATTCATGCGACCAACCTATACAGTATTTTCTTTTTTGTATTTTTTATAAAAAGCATAAGAAAAAATACACCTGAAAAAGACTTGCGGCCAAATGAACTTTTCTCTCAAAGTTTAAACTGCTGGTAAATAGGGATTAAAATTAAATAACTAATTAATAATTAATGCACTTCTTCAAACTGGGATGATTGTTTTTTTTACGGGAACAAAGTTAATGTTACAGGAAGCTTGCATTGGCCACTTGCAAGTACCAGGCCTTTTCGAAGTTTTCGATAATTTCTATTATCTACTTGCAGCGTGCAACTAACACGTGTGATCGCGCAAAGTTACAAAAAATGTTTTTAAATAAAAAATAAAAAACAATTTGAGTGTTGCTGTGATTCGATTCTATTTACCGTAAGTGCCGTTTTACACGCTCCGGGTTTTGGCTACCCGGCAGCCGGTTTGCCGGCACAAGTTATATGTAATCGGCCACCACTTTGGGCAAAAGCTGGCTGTAATTACTTTACATCAGTAATGCTCAGAGAGAGCTTTCAATGAGGGAGTGAGAAAATAAGACTATTCCTTGAAAGAATAATAGCTAAAATTTAACATTTTTGTACCAAAAGTAAAAAACAAAATACATGCAAGTTTTTGTTTTTGCCTAACACTTCTGCCTGAAATGAATTTGGCTTAAAATATTCTTTGTTCTTTTAAATAAAAAATCAGAAAATATCTTTAAATGATATTTAAAGAAATAAAAATTAATAAGACGAAGTTTACGCGCGGAAACTTTTGACGTCGCGATTTTGGGAATTCTTTGTGGGTGTTTCTCTTTCGTTTGCAATCGCTGTCAGCTTTGAACCCACAACAGTTGGGTTCCCACGACAGTCGGGTGTACGTAACCGGAAAGACCCAGATTAATATCTGGCCAAGGCCTGTCTCTCCAGCATCATTCCCAAAAACGCTTTGGGGAATTTATATGATGTTACAACAACAACAACCTACTCAAACGCTGTTATGGAGAGACATGTCCCAGCGAGTACACTATGACTGTACTGAGGGTATGGAAACAGGCTGAATCTTTCAGTTACCTTGGAAATCTTTCCAAGCATCTTCTAAGCGGAAGTGTTTGCCATTATTCTGAGCGCAGAGATTAACCTTCGTAGGATTTATCGAAGGGAGAGGATCTTTATACTCAGCCCTATTCTGCATTTCGATTACGTTCCCGCATTCCGCTCCGCAAGAATCGAACTTAGGTATTCTGCGCTACGATCGAATCGAAAGCGGAAGAGAGAAAACATCTTTCGAAATCAGCTGTTTGCCTAGGAATTTGTGAAATCGAAACAAAACAAAGAAATATTGGCCACCAAACTATAGCAGCTTATGAAGTTGGGGTTTGTAAATATTTTAAAATAACTAAATATATCTAGCATCACTGTAATTTAAAAATAAAATTTCGCTTGCTCTTAATTTAAGTGGAAACATAATTATAAGAATGAAATCCATAGCCGCGGCGTTATTGCTTGAAGAGGGGGACGAGTCCCAGATTGCTGATGCGGAAGTTGAAAGGCGGAGATTTAGGGACATGTTTGATCCTTCTCAGATGAGTGAAGAGTAATAAGAAATTCATCTTGAACTGTATTACTCATCGCTTAAAGTCAGTGAAATTATAAACGTTGTTTGAGCAGTCCACAACATTTGCATTTACTACAGAGTGGAAGATTTGAACGCAAATGAATTCCATTTCGAAAGCCGTCAGGAGGAGGGGAAGAACAATGCTTATCCTTCCATAGCAAATCGAATTCGAGACAACATACACACCTCTTTTTAAAAAGTTAGTAAAATCGAGTGCAATAATAAAAACATCTTTTTTATGTAACTTCACATTTTATGTATGTATGTATGTATGTATGTACATATGTACATCTATAAATTTTATACAAAAAGAATAAATTGTATTCAGTGCATTTCACAGTCTTATTTATAGATAATGAAAACAAAAAAGCCTGGACTTCCTCTTTGACAACCTCGCGCAATATCCCTTTTGGTTGACATTATTTGAGCCAATTTTTCGTATTGCTCGCGAAAACACAGAAATCGAGAAAATTCATTTATGATGGCTTTTACAATCTTGCACAGTATATATTACTTAATTTTTTTAATAAAATTTTATTATTTAAACTCACGAAAATAACAATCGAAACGTCAGCAAATTTGCAACTTAGAAAAACGGTACTACGATCGAAATGTAGAATAGGTATAATCGTAAATTTCGAAGATTGATCGAAAGGAAACGGAACGCATAATACTAAAGTTGCCAAACGGAGAAAATTTCGATTCGAGTCGAAATGCAGAATAGAGCTGACTGAGTGATAGTCAGGCGACACTTATGGCTCTCTCAACAGCCGTGGGAACGAAATTCATAGACTTTGGGGCTACTAGCTGTATTGCTGGGCCGAGTTGAGGGCGCAATCAACCTACTGCTCGCAGTGCTTACTCTATTTATCTATATCTAATCGGAACGACCCAGATTTATGTATACCTGGCCAAGCACCATCACTTCCTCAACATTCTGCAAAACTTTTTTTTTGTGAAATTCGTATGCTATTACAACAACAAAGACAAATTAGAGAGCAAAGCTCGCCGCAAAGTAACAAACTGCCGCAACAAAAGTAGCCTTGTGTAAACAGCGTCTAAAATGAAGTTTTAGATATGTTCCTAGATACATATGTATATACATTAGGGTGGTCCTTAAATGTAGGAAGGAAATTTTGACATCAGATTTCCTAAGCCGATGCTACTATAGTCGAAGATATCATATCATATTTTGGTCCCGATTGGAGACGGTTAAAGCGCGTCGCACAGGAGGCAAAGCTCTATGGAGACTCAAAAAATTTTAATTAATTTTTTTTTCATCTAATACCCAAAATCGATAGTACTTTAGTCGAAGATAATAATAATAATAATAATAGATTGGCGCTTACACATATGTTAGTAATTGGCCGAGCTTCTCCTCCGACTTGTGGTGTGCGTCTTGATGTTGTCACACAAAGCGGATGGACCTACAGTTTTACGCCGACTCGGAACGGCGATTGTATTTTTATGAGAAGCTGTTTTTCGTGGCAGAAATACACTCGGAGGTTTGCCATTGCCTGCCGAGGGACGACCGCTGTTAAGAAAAAACCTTTTTCTATATTTTTTGCGATGTTGCTTTGACCAGGGCATGAACCCAGGTGCTGATGAGTGAAAGCGCGCACTGCTTACCTCCACACCACAGCGGCCTTCGACTTTAGTCGAAGATATAACATTTTAATTTTGGCCCCGGTTAAGGCGCGTCGCACAGAGGTCAAAGTTCAAATTACCCTATGAAAACGTATTAACCGACTGCAATCGGGACCAAAATTTATATGTGATATCTTCGACTTTAGTAGTATCGATTTTGGGTATTAAATGAAAAAAATATTTTTAATTTTTGGAGTCTCCATAGAGGCATCTGGCCTTTGACACACGCCTTAACCGACTCCAATCGACCGACCAAAATTTATACGTGATATCTTCGGCTATTTGAGTATCGATTTTGGGTATTAGATGAAAAAAAATTTATTTTAATTTTTTAAGTCTCTATAGAGAAATCGGAACTTTGCCACCTGTGCGACACGCCTTAACCGTCAGGACTAAAATTTATATGTGATATCTGTGACCACGGTACTACCGATCGAGGGGGTGAGACTGAAGAAAGAATCGTTCATTTGATTTTTTAAGGACCCCCCTAATGCACAAACATATGAGCGACTTTAACTTCGATTAAAACTCGATTGCCAAGAAATATATTTTCTTAAATGAATTTAAACGTGATTTAACGGTGACGTTAAATAAATATCAACTTCAAATTAGTTTAAAAATATATATAATTCACAGGTTAACGCAACCCTTTTAACTAATACTTTATTTTCCGTCGTAATATCTTGCCTAGTAATGTCATGCTTCGTCCCTAGAATATTAGAAGATTTTATTTAAAATGTACAGAGAAAATTAAAAGAAAAGTCCTCTATACAAAAAAGGTTGCTGACATAAACAAATTATTGCCGATTTTAGTAGATTTGTATACAATTTTGTTGAGTTTGCCCTTTATTTTCTTTTTTTTTCAAGCATGAATAATGGCTCTCTCTCCATCATTTATAAAAAATACGGTCAAGCGCAAATTAATTTTTCGAAATTTACAAAATTTTCCTCATTTACATACACACTTATCGATCCAACACACTTCACCGTTTCTAAATTATTATGTCTTAATATTTGAGTTAAAAATTAATATAATGTGATTTTACAGCCATTAGCTTTAAGCAAAATTAGTTGAAGCTTTGCATTTATTTAAGCTTTGGGGCGTATTCATTGTTAAAATAAAGTCGACCCAAAAGTACTTTGTATCTGTTGCTTATTCCATTTGTCGTTTAAAAACTAACTACATTTCGCATTCTACGTTCGTTCTTTATAACAATACACACATGATTTAACTGTTTTAAGGTAGTACAAAAGACAGATTTCGATTCCAGGTGAGGGAAATTGCAACTAAAAATGTTTACATATGCATATATAGACAGACGACTGTACCTACATGCAAACAAATAAATTGAAATATATTATACATACATGTATTTATTTACACATATTCTTGATGAATTCTTCATTTTACCATCAATGCAACAATTATACAAAATGTATTTATTTTCTTTGTTTTTCAGTGCCTAACAAAATATTTTTTCTTCACCAAACAGTGATTGTAACACCAAAAGTACACTAATGACAGCTTAGTTAAACAACATGCATATACAGAAGGTTTTTGTTTTTGAAATCTTAAGCGCATACTCTTGGTATTTTCACAAAATCACAAACGAAAAATTTTAATACGTGTAAAAAATATTCAGTTCATTTACAAATATTGTGGCTGTTGGTTATATTCACCCTCACGTGTGTGGTATTGCTCACTATATCCTATAAACCATATCTAAACGTATTTAATATTTTATAAAGTAGTTTTAAAAATTATGTTTAAAAGTATGTATATATGTTATATTTGCGCTTTCTGCCAAGTGTTCACACATTTTTATGATTATTCGCTTACACCTTAATGTGTTCGCCTACATTTTTTCTAGTTTTCTTATATGCATAGTGCCTTTTTTATGTATACATGGATAGATTTGTTTGCGTTTTATATCAACTATAATTTAAGTATATTTAATGTTTATATTTAGTTGTGTTAAACCAAGGATGTGATAAAAACGTGTATTATATATTATGTATGACAAACTACTCGCTATATGTAAGGGTAGAGAAAAAATCTTCGAATGGCATACTGCGTTGCTTAGCCATCTTCCTTTGGCGGGGTGAACCAGCCTAATAGAGAAAAAAAGGAAAAAAATGTAAAATGATGATTACTGTTGCGTATGCAATTAATATTCGACGTACCATTCTTCTCGTGTATTTGCACCAGGGACTTGAAGCTCTGCTGTGCGCGTGCCAAGCTGTACTGACCCTGTGATAAGGCCTAAAGTTGGGATTTAGAATTCCAAAACAAAAAACAAAATAGCAAAATCTCAAAAATGACTTAGAAACTACAGTGGGTCGCCACAAAATCATTGAAGACAGTACTCATATTTGCATATTAATTACTAGGTTAAAGAAAGTAGGGATTTTTAAAATCGATATAGGCGAAGCCCTCCAGCCCGAGGTGTATAATATACACACAAAATTTTGTAATTACAGTCTAAAACCTGAACAAATTTTTGCGTCTTTCGAGCGTTCCAGTTTAAATGAAACTCGTTAGTGTTTTTGAATAGCAAGGAATTAAAGAAATGCAAGCTTTAAAATAAAACTCGACACGATATTTAGCTTTAAGAAATTACTAAAGCGTAGATAAAAATGATATAAACCCACAGCAGAGCAAATGCGAGACTGGCGATCGATTTTTGTCAGATTTGTTTTGACTGAGTCAAAGCTTGCTAAATAGTAGCTAATGATTTAGTACACGAGTTTAATACACCCATTCTCAGTTATCAATGAACATACTCACCTTAAGTTAACAGCTATTTGAAAAGTGACATTTATGCTAAGTTTCCTGTTTAAACTTTCTTGCAATCATGAAATGGGGTTGTAATGCAGTCACGGAAAATCAATCGAAATTTTGTGCATCGTACCGTGAAGATATTCTAAGAGACTAGTCGAATTGTCGAGCGTGAAAAATCGTGGTGTGGCCGCACAGTGCGAACGCCATATGCCGCCGTAAATCGAATTGATCGAAAGTAGCTACGCAAGCAGAAAATCATGGGCCGGGAAATGAATATAAACAAGGACAGCATGTCTCACATCAAGAAACGTGACTTGGGACTCAGCGCGTATAAAGCCGTCATCGATTCGCCATCAGTTAGCAAGTGGCGAAACGAACGAACTCAATGAGGTACAACCAAACTTGCTATCGTCTATCCGTGCTAGCTAACTTTGTTGTTGCTTTCACATGCAACATTTTTCGTTAAGCGACCGGAACTCAAACATAGCAAGCAGCGAATCGAACACGGCTTAAGACACACACCTTACTTACATAAGCATTGAAACAAAGGCGTAAGTAAAACTTTACAGCCTTGCTTCGACAGTACGACACACGGTCACACACTTAACTGTGAAAGAATTGTTCAATAAATAGAAGATAGTAGTGCGTATGCTCTGGTTAAAAATTCAAATTATATTTATAACCTGTCTGATCAAGGCGAATTTATATAAGATGGTGTTACTAGACCAGCTGATTTTGTGAATGTGTTTCGCCTCAAAGCTTAGAATGTCAAATTGAAATATTGTGTTTGCTCTTCCACACACACTCTTACAGATTTTGACAGTTTAAGCCGCAAAAGCAAAAACAAAGTACATGTAAATTTTTGTTTTTGTACTCCAGCTATCACACATGGTTCTGCGATTGATGACATTAATAACGCGGTGCTACAAAAAAGGTCATGAAATACACGCAAAACAAAACCTAGTGTGGGTTTTAGCTACGGTCGAGTACATCATGGAAACAGGACCCGTATAGTTCCTGAACCCTCCATTTTTTACACCAAAAACCCGTTATTTTCGTACTTGATGCACTTACGTATTAATAGTTTGACTATTTTCCATCCGATTTCAAAAGTCGAACAAGTTTTGAAGAGAGGATTTATAGACCTCTCAAACGATGTATGCATTCGCGTATTGATAATTTTTGATAACTATCAAAACTATTAGGTTTTGCTGTTCGCGTACACAAAAATCCAGCAAAGTAAGGGAAATTAAGAGATCAGACTGACATTTAATTTATATGAAAAGCTGCTAGTTTCTACTGGAAAAATATTTGCCAGCAATAAAAACGGCTGATCGAAGTCATCTGTTGGAAAAAAAAAGAATAATATTGAAAAAAAAGCTTTAGGCAAACTTGAAATCTACATTATTTTCATGTTTTCCGTTTTATGCTTTTGCATGTAAACAAAATTTCGATGAGCAAGTTGCAAGTTTTTGCAGGTTTTGCGTTCGCGTACTTTTGAAAGCATTTCTCTCCTTGAGGGAGAACAAATAAAAATTCATTTGAATTTTGCTGTTGCGAGTTTTCTGCTAGACGGATACGCAAATACACCTAATATATGGTAGACTTAGGGCCGCTGTTCAATGTCTGGTTATCACTACTTGCCGGTTAAACATCATTATCGACGTTTTCGACATCATGCATATAACATGTGATCGATAAAGCAGTCGTTGTACTTAACCAGAGCTTCTACCTCCGATTAGTGTTAATCAGACATTGAACAACCGGCCCTTAGCTTGTTGGGAGTTTTCATCGGTTAACATTTTTTCATATTTTCAACTTTAATCATCGCTATTTCAAAAATTTTTTTGAAAGTTGCCAAACGTGTGGTATTTATCTAAAAGAACATTTATTTTTGAATAAATTGATACCTCACCTAATGGAATTGCATAAAAATTGTCAAATTTCATACAGTCAGTTTGGATATACGGTGGAAGCCTCGAGCTCTTTTTAAAAGTTTACCAGTATCGTCATGGAGGACAACATTTTTTCCTGCTGATTACTTCTTTCCATTGGCTTAGTATCATCAGTTGATTCAAGGTTTTGGTGTCAATCTGGGCTTTGCCTAGGTTTTTAGGCTTCTCCAGTTGACCGAAGGCTCGATTTCATTTTAATTTAGAAGCGATCCATTAAATGTTGCACTACCTAAATATCGATTCTCTATTGATATTCAGCCCAATGACAATGGTTGAAAACAGTTTTCGATATATATTTGATTAAGCAGAAATGTTACGGCACATTCAATATGTTGGTCCACCTTAGTTTCTTCCTTATTTAAACGTCTTTTTTAACAATACGTCGATCTTTAGCATCGACATTTTCGGAAAAAAAGTCAATCGAACTAATTCTAGTTTACTTAGAATTAGGAGCTCATCACCTTAAAAATCTCACAATTCCTTCTTTTATGGTAGTAAAATTGTTTAATGGCTTGTCCCCTTTCAAACGCCATCTACCAAATTAACTTTTCTCAATCCAATATGTTTGGTATTTCAATTCACAGTATGACAAATCGCAAGACCTGCGAAGTTTTTCGTAGCTTCATTTCTAATTAAACCCTTAAAGCTGTGTTTTGATCCCACGCGCGACTGAAGCGAAACGTTTTCCTATTAACCGTATAGCTCCGCATATTATATGAGTATTTTTCTGCATACCCTCCCTTCTGTCGCTTTTTCGTATCATTGGAGTTTGGAATTAGAGCACAACGATTGTGCCGATTTTTCGTTACATTGATGCTCGCATTTATACTCAACCGAGCGCAAGAAGTTTTACTTCAAAAAAATTTGAATACTGTCCCTCAATGGCCATCCACTGTAAATAAGAGACTTACCTTTGTAGCGCCAAATTGTATTCTGGCTTTGCCTTTTACCAATGTTGCAGCTATTTGCATAATTACAGCTTCTACTGTGTAAGCGGAACTCCAGCCCTGTTTTGTTAACAATTCCATACAAATGGCACCGCCCACAAGTACATATCCGCCTGAAAAACAGAATAATATTCAATATTTAACACAATGAAGTATATTTTTATCCATTTATAATTTGCTTTAAACCTCTTCTCACACCTACCTGATATTATCGGATGCACAACTCGCACGAATGGCGGTTCAAATGGATAGGTTTCTTTGAAAATAATATTCAGCAATATGCTATCTTTGCCCTCCTTCTCCTTGAGCATGACCAAGTCGTTGTGTAGCGGACTATCGGGATCGACTGATTTCAGGCGTATATTCCATTCGTATATCGAATCGTTTACCAACTCTATAGAGTACATATTACTCTTAAAAGAATCGGAGCGGTAAATGTCACGCAGCTCCTTCATGAGACGGTCGGTCGCTTGTACGGAACCGGAAACTGAACCCTGTAGGTATTAGCAGTAGAAAGATAAATTAAATCAACGATGAAACTGCTGTGATCATGAAATTGCTTCTTGGATCGACCGATGAGCATAATATGATAACAATGAACTTCATAACATCGAGCCTGTAGGTATTCAATAACCTTTCTGAGTGGAGTAAAAAGTCATTGCGTATGTTTTTTATATTTTTTAATGTCGTTTATTTACATATCCATGGTCCTCTGCAACAAGGACACAATTCAAAACTAAAAAAAACCCTTACTACTGAATACCGGCATATCTCCTATCCTGGTCTAGTAATAATAATAGCTTCGTGTTTACACAATATCGTCGCCTGGGTAAAAGATTGTCGTATGTTAATTTCGATAGGTTGCGGGAAATCGCGATTGAAGTTTGCAATACAATTTCTCAAAAAGGCGAAGATAGATTTTCTCCAGTCTCTGAAAATGTGACTAGTTCACAAAAATTATTTAATTTTTAATGTTTATTGTTAATTAGTTTTGAGTTTATGAAGGATTTTTAATATCTCGGAAACTAAAGGAGATATCTAAAAACTGTAACATCAATCGAAAGACCTTATTTCAAAATATATAACTGCATCTAGAACTAAAAATCGTCAAAATGGCGCTTACGACAATCTTTTGCCCAGGCGACGATATGTTATCTATCGTTGGGCTGAGCTTCTCCTCCGATTTTTAGCGTACGCTTTCTAACCAGTACACCACAGCGACTGCTTAATAAAGGCTTAGTAAGGATTAAGACAACTCTTGCGCCCTCGTTCGCGCACTCTGAGCAACCCATGTGCGAGATGCGGTAACCATTCCGAGTGGAGCCTTGGGTCACAGCAGAAAGAGAGGGAGCTTCGGCGTGGCCACTCCGACTTATTCAGTTTAAGGGCTCACAGAAGTCTGCAGCGTCTGTTCACCGGATGTCTGTCTTGGAAGAAGCGGCTCGCTATATAAAAGCGTATTCTGTTGCGAAACCACCCCAGTCCCACCATTGGTTTGTTCGCTGGTTTTGCCACCCGCCACGTAAAAACTCCTTGAAGTGAAGAACAAAAACAAAGCCTTTCCTTCTGATGACGGCCACGGCAAACGTTTAAAGCAGAGGTGCTCAACAAATTTAAGTTACTGAGCCAAACGACAACAACGTCAATATCAATTAAAACAGCATGGTTCTGGGAATTGCAAAAACCCCTCTAACAAATCAATGATACAAGCATACAACTGAGCAAATGCAAGCCAACTCGAGGCAGCTGTGAGTAAATGTCGATCGATTTGTGTCCTGTTAGTTTTTACTGAGTCAACTTTTGTTCGTTTGTTTTACTGTGGTTTTTGCAACTGCGCCAAAGTGAGCGACAGTGATGTTGTGAGCCAACTGAGCCAATCGACTGGATGAGTACCCCTGCTTTAAAGGACCACGACCCTTAATGGGAAAGGTGCCTCTGCCCGGCTGGCTGATGTCTTCGTAAGGACAAAAGCTGATATCACCGCCATCTAAGAAATGCTTTGGACGGGGCAAGGCAAGCAATGTCTGAGGCCTTGCGACGTCTACTACAGCTTCCATGTAAAGGAGCCCAAATTCGGTGTTGGATTTGTGGTGGGAGACTCCTTTGCCGAACACTGTTGTTGTTGTTGTTGTTGTAGCGGCTACAACAGCTCCGCCCAGAACACTTAATATCTCAGTCGTTGTCGTCAAGCTCCACTAACGGAAGCCCTAAGAAGCGTGCAGCCTCAAAGGGTCGGTTCACAGGGACAAAGGCGTTAGGGTTGTCGGGTTTTACGAGCATACGAAGAGATGTTTCGAGTCATCGGGTGTCTCTCCGCATGCCGCACAATCATTTGGCACATCTGCGTCTTATCTGCTCAGGTATGAGTTTAACCTGCTGCACTAGCCAGAGCGAAGTTGGGCTATTGTGGTTCTAGTCTCTCGAGGCAGATGAAGATCCGTCTCGTCAATGTCCGGTGGTTGTGCGCCTAGAACGGCATTCACAGGTCTGGAGTCTACATAACTCGAGACTGACTCCGTGTGAATGCGGCTCAGAGCCTGTCGATAAGCTGACGGGTCTAGAGGTTGTTTAATAACCTCTGGACTTCGTTCGTCAGTTCGTAGAGATGCCTCATAACCTGCTGGGCGAGGGCTCTTCTGCAAGCAGTTGTCTACTTGGGTTACCACGTCTATGGCTCCCAATAAGAAACTGCTTGCAGAGCATTGTGTTATGCTCCTTGACTGGGAGCATTTTCGACTCGTAGTGCAGGTGGTGTTCTGGCGACATCAGGAGGCATCCAGTCGCTGTCCGTAGTGCGGTGTTTTGTGTAGTCTGCAGCTTCAACCACTGCGTTCTACTAGTACCCGGCGACCACACTGGTGCTGCGTAGTTTAAAACCGGCCGGCCTATTGCCTTGTATGTTGCAGGCAACGTTTCTTTGTCTTTGCCCTAAGTTCAGTCGGCTAGGGACTTGAGGACCTTGTTGCGGCTCTGTACTTTGTTGACAATAGCGCTTGCGTGCGCAAAGAAGGAGAGCAGACTGTCGAAGGTTACTCCGAGTGTTTTGGGGCTATTCACCGTCGGAATTGGTGTATCAACGACGTGAATCCTTCGTCCAGGTAGTGAACAAGGTCGCAGAGGATTTTGTAGGGGAGCGGGTTAGGCTCCTTGCAGTGAAGAAGCGAGAAAGCTCGGAGAGATACCCGTTTACTTTCTAACACAAGTCATCTATTCCATTCCCAGACGCCATGATCGTGCAATTGTCGGCGTAAGAGACAATCGCGATTCCCTCTGGTGGTTGAGGGAGCTTTGAAATGTAAAAGTTAAACAGTAGTGGGGAAAGGACACCAGCGTGTGGAACCCCTGTCTTATTTTTCTGAGTTTGCTCGATTTGTCTCTAAACAGTACTGACGAGTGTCGACCACTCAGATAATTCGCCGACCACCGTTTGAGCCTCTGTGGGGGAGAGGAGGCCTCTATGTCTTCTAGTAGCGTGGAGTGTCTGACGGTGTCAAACGCCTTTGACAGGTCCAACGCTACTAGAATAATTCTCTCACAGGGACGGTTGCGGTTAAGGCCTCGTGTTATCTGTGTGTTTATGGCGTTAAGTGTTGCTGTTGTACTGTGCTATTTACGGAAACCATGCTGCTGTTTCGCTGGGGTCAGGTGGTTCGTGAAATACAGGAGCAGCAAGGCCTCTAGTGTCTTCGGGCGATAAGATTCTCCTTGTTGGCTGGTTTCCCCGGTTTGAGCAGTGGGACCACTCTCCCCATCTTCCATATGTCTGGGATGATGAGAGCGGCCATTGACATATTAAGGACCTCCGTTAAGTACGCTACTCCCGCAGGACCCAAATTTTTCAGCATCAACATGCATATTCCGTCGGGACCCATGGCTTTGGAGGCTTTCGCCTTCCCGATGGCCACCTGAACTTGACCGCTAGTGAAAGCAAGCCTTCTAGTAACTCGACGCTTGGTATTGTCCGCCGGAGGATGCAGTATGAACTGCCGGCTAAAATAGTTCGCGCGTCGCTCCGGGTCCGGTTGACTAAAGCTTACTCAAACCAGAGGTCAAGTTACAATTCTTCAGATGCTCTTCCTACTTTTTCCGCTTATGTACGTTCACAAGCTGCCGAATCTCCGCATTGAGATCCCTGATACGGGGATTTCCGGGACCGGCCTGACGAAGGTTGCCACGTTCATCGGCTAGAACAGCCGCTTCAGCAGGGAAGTTTGGACGGAGGTCCGTGATGCATCCTGCCGGTACGAAGCGAGCTGCAGCAGCAGTGACAACCCTGCGGAACTTACGTTCACCAAAGTGGACGTCGGTTGGTGTGGGAAGCGCAGCGAAGGTGCTCTCAGTAAATTCCGTGAAAGCCTTTCCAATCAGCTTTAGAAAAGTTGATATGGTCCGGTGTTCCGCGAAAGCAAAGTCGGTTGGTTTAACGATCGACATGCTATGGGCAGATGGTCTGATGCCAAAGTCAGCATAGGTCGCCATGATACGCTGTTTATAATTAAAGTCACATACTACCATACGTATTTCACCTCTGAGGAGCGCACCTATATCAGGGTGATATCCTGCCCGGCAGCAAGTGACAGGGGGTATGTAAACGTTAAATATTTCTGACCCGATAGCAATGCCCTGACATTCTAGGGTGGTATCCCTCCGGTCGATAAGACGATACTGCACGGTATGGTGCGCGATAAACGCTAAGCCACCGCCATTTTCTCGCTCGCGATCTCGACGGTGTACGTTGTATGCGGCACAATTCAAAAATATTGAATTGCTGTGAAACTTCGTCTCTTGGACCGCAGCTATCAATATACCATGCCTTCCCATGGAGGTTGCCGCCCTGTGGTGGTAGTGGATTGCGTCGCAATTGGGGTTTGCGCAACACGGGCTCTCGAAGTTCCTCGTCCAATCTCGCGTGGTGCGCAGACCTGAACATGTCCCAAAGTGGCACCAGCCAAGGCAGGTGTTGCACTTGACTGATGTCACGTTACGGAATATCCTGGTCTGACATATCGTGCAGATTGTAGAAGGAACTAGGAGTTGTTAGCGGCGGCGTGTGTGGTGGTGCAGTTGTGTCTGTTGTGTGGTGTGTCGTGGTTGTGGTGTGGTCTATTGTGTTGTTGTGTTGTGTTGCTGTGGTTTGTATTGAGCTGCTCAGGTGGACTGGGGTTAGCCGTTAAGGCTGCTCTGTTTGAGCAGCAGGGGGCCACAAAGAATTTGGTCCACTGCCGATGGGTCCGTAGTCCAGAGCAGACTCTGAGGTGACCCAACCCGTCGCTAACATTCCACTTGACTGAGGTGGAGTTGTGGCGTAGTCGTCTCTGCCATACACATATGTAGCAAATGTTGCCCTATGGGCGAACAACTTCTGAGATACTTTGCCGACCTAAAAGGCGTTAGATAGCCGAAACAACAGCCCTTGGTCGGGTAAAACCCGGGTACTGTCGTTCACCCCGGTGAACGAGCGTCTAGCCACAAGCCGCATCAAAGCGAGATTCTT